TAAAATAGCCTCAAAATGTGTAAATAAATGGAATGGAAAAATTGACAAACTCACAGTCATAGAAGAAAGTTTTAACTTCCTTAGTATTTGAGACCTAGGTAGACCACAGTTAGATATAGAAAATATGAATAGCAAAATAAAAAATCTTGATTTATCGGGCAAGGTTAGAACCCTGGACTGACAACTAGAAAATACACATTCTTGTGCATTACAAGGCAATAAGTTAGAGGTGACAAAATTAAAGATAAATATGCTTTAACCTAGAGATTCCGCTTGCATAGAGATACTTTTTGATATGGGAAAGAAGATATTTACAAAGATGTTAATTGTAAAATTATTTGTAATGGCCAAAAGTAAAGAATAAGTGAAATTTTCATGAGTAGAATGCCAGATAAATGATTTTTTATATTCATGCAAAAATACGAAATGTTAAAATTATTGAACTAGAGTTATATGACTCAAAATAGGTTGGTCTCATAATCTTAAGTGATGATCTAGTTGTAGAATAATATATGAAACATATTTATGCTAAGGTTAAAAAGATAAAAAATATGAATGTATATAAATAGAAGTTACAGGAACATGCTAGAGTTTATAAACAATAATATTAGGATTTTATTTCTAGAGGCAGGATAAATGGAGAGCACAGGCTTTACAAAGGTCCTTGTGTTTAAAATATTTTATTTCTGTTTTAAAAATATCTTGAATTTCATTAGGTATAATTTCAGAATGACAAATTTGAATGAAACCACAAAGATGCAAATATGCACATTAGTTATGTGAAAAAGTCTGTGTACCACTAGTACTCAGGTCACAGTGAGTCTTTGGACTCCAGTTTTCTTTCTGCCCTTTCATAGCTACTGTAGTTGAGGTCATCTTTAAAGACTCATTTCAGATGCTCTTTTTCTCTGTGAAAGCTTCTCTGATCTACTCCAACCCCAATCAAAATGAACCTTCCTAAATATTCCCTGTGTTAGTTCATTCTCACATTGCTATAAAGATACTACCTGAGACTGAGTAATTTATAAAGAAAAGAGGTTTAATTAAATCACGGTTCTGCATGGCTTTGAAGGCCTCAGGAAACTTACAATCGTGGCAGAAGGAGAAAAGGCACATCTTACATGGCAACAGGCTAGAGAGAGCAAGCAAAAATGGAAAACTGCCTTATAAACCATCAGTCTCTTGAGAACTCACTATCCCTAGAACAGCGTGGCGGGGAAAACACCCCTGTGATCCAATCACCTCCCACCAGGCCCTTCCCTTGACATGTGGGGATTATGGGGATTACAATTTGAGATGAGATTTGGGTGGGGATGTAGAGCCAAGCTATATCATCCCCCACTCTTTGCTTGTTCCTCTACTATGGCCCTTATGTCATGAGTAACTGGACCCGTGTCACTTTCTATCATCAGATTGAGAGTTTCTTGAGGATAAACTCTGTGTGCCTTTGTCATCTCTGGCTATCAGCACCTTCAGAATTGATTAGATTCTGAAAATAGGATTAACAAATGATATTGACAATGACAATTCAAATAATCTTGGAGCCCAAAAATTACTCATTGGTGATAGCCAAAAGGACGTATGCAAACATGTCATTTGCCAGTTGGAAAAGATAGGTCAAAATGTCTAAAATATTGTGATTTATAAGTGATATTTGCAAGAGAGTCCTGATCAGTTCTGTCACGTGAGTCATGAAGAATGCCATTTTTGTTTAATACATCAGGCCATATTAGCAATTCTAGAAGACCATGCTGAGATTATAGGGGTGGCATTTTCAATTTTAGAATTTAAAAGGATAAACTTTGGATTATTGAGAATACAAAAGAATCATACTCTAAGTGGGATTGTTTTTCATTTAAAACTTTGACACTTATTTCTTAAGGTCACTGGTTGATAGATTTCTGTTCCCTACATTTTAAAGATGAGAATACAGGTGAGGCATAAGAGTGAGGACTCCAAATCTAAATTCCAGACCTTTTGCTCAGTGCTCTGTCCATAAGTATTTTGCCCTGGCATTCTCCAGTTCCCCAGTCTCAGAGTGTGACTTATTCTTCTTTTTTCTAAGCCAGTTTAATAGAACATTATTAACACCTAAGATAGTCACTGGAAATCACCAAATAACAAGGACTGGTAATTGTGCCTTAAAATGATCTTTATTAAGTGTAAATTGACACACTGCTCAAGGATCCAGTTGTAAACATTACCCAATTTTACATTGCAATTGAAAGGGGCTTCTTCATTGGCTGTGGTTGGGTTGCATATAGTGTAATAAATACTTTCTGATGGTTTGTTTCTCTGTTTCAGGAAATGTAATGATAAACATACAACAGAGCTAGGAGTTGGTCTGCAATTCATTGGCACTATAGATTATTTAATAGAAACATGGAGATTTAGAATGTGCTGATTTGCAGAGTGGAGGAGACCTCTTATTTAAATTTTGTGATATGAATATTTTTAAAATATTGATTTGGTTGTCACTATGGGCTATAGAAATCATTTGGTTCTTTAATTCATTAACAAAAGGCTTTGTATGTAGTGTCCCTGGGATAGTGTGGAGGAAGATAAGCTTGTTGTTGCATATCAATAACACAAAGTGATGCACTAGGAGAAATCCTGCTGGCTTCATTTGCAGGGGAAATGAAGAGGAGGAATACTGTTGTTTTAGAAAAATGAATTCGGTATCTTTTTTTCTGGCACCCACTCAAAAAGAGAAAAAAAACACTGTAAGCAAACTGTGAAACTTGGGTAGGAGTGTTTTAGTTGTTGTATTAGCGATTTAAAGAAAACAATGAACGGGAATCAAGTGTAAAGATAAACAACATCAGGAAAGGAATTCTTCAGTATGTTTCCTAAAAAGGTTTTTGTAGAGGCTAATTTACAATTCATTGATTTGAGGAGGTATGCTGTATGTGTCTTACTTTGTTTTATTCTTACATTTACTCGGTTAACCAATAACAGATGAATATTAGCTCTTTTGTGCTTGTTGAATTAATATTTTCCTTTATTTTCTTTCCAAACCCCTATTGGTCATCTTTAGTGTTAATTCCTTTCCCCCAAATGCACAAACATGGAAAAATATAGCTTATTACTGAGGATTCTCTAGGGAAATGGAACAATTAGAGGTCCAAATCTAAATCTGTCTTTCTATTGACAGACTAAAGAATCGGCTCATGTGGCTGACCTGTCTGAAATTCATAGGGCAGGCATACTAGCTGGAAACTCAGGCAGAATTTCTGTGTTGCAGACTTGAGGCAGAATTTTTTCTCTGGGAAACTCATCTTTGCTTTTAAGGCCTTTAACTGATTAGGTGAGACCCACCCATATCATAAAGGGTAACCTGCTTTAAAGTCAATTGGTTGTAGATGTTAACACATACCTTTCAAGTAACATCTAGACACATTTGGCCAAACAACTAGGCACCATAACTTAACAAGTTAACACATTAAATTACCCATCGCATGGGGTGTGTGTGTGTGTTTCTTTTCAGTATAAAGGGTATTAAGACCACATTTAAGTTATTAGAAAACTAGGAAAGAGAAGGAATCATATATCTATTACTCTACCAGATTCTGTTTTATTTTCTTCCAGTGTTTTTAATAAAAGCGTTTCTTTTAAAATATCTTGAACATATTTGCTATATGTTACAGATATGAAAGCTTTTGTGTCTTGCTCATATTTGTTCCAGTTGTTAGAGAAAAAACACTATCATGGGAACTTGGTGCTCTTGATGCTTGTCCATTCTCTGCCTAATTTCATTCTCTGTCAATTTTCTCACTAATTTCATGAGTTGAGAAAGAAAGAAGGTCCTTCCGAACTGTGGTTTCCTTCTCTATTTATGAAGAGTTTGGGTTTGGTAATCTCAAGTGACCTTCTGAGCTTAAATATTTTATTAACCTAGGATGTCCTCAAGTGTGTTATGTGCACCCCTCTATGACTATATGCCAGAAGATTGGAGGTGGTATGAGGATGATCAATGTTTGATTTAGCAATTTAATATTGTGTATATTTGAAAAAGAATTAAGGCACCAAATCATGATTTTTCTCTGGTAATTGCTTAAGACAAGGTGAAAACTAACAAAGGGAATTACTTTAAAGAAAAATATTGGGAAAATACATATTTTTCAATTACATAGAAAAACATTAATGGCCAAAGTTTGGGATGTATACTGTAATAACCTGTGAATCTGATTCAATATGCTCTCACTCTACCCTTCAAGAAACCCATAAAGACCACGTTCTCTTAGCAGACAGCAGTGTAGACAGGTCATTGCTCAGTTAATACTTTGCCCAACCTGTATTGTGCTAAGTACTGTGCCAGGTGCAAGAATCTTTGGGTAAATGAGATGTGGATTTGGCCCTTGCTTACTTAGTCTAGTGGGGCATCAGAAGCGTAAATGATTAATTACAACCCAGTACTTTATCTACAGTAAGAAAAGTATGTTCTCCTGTCAGGCCGGGGATAACAGAGGAGAGAAACTAGCCTTACTCGGGACGTCCAAAAAAACCTCACTGAAGTCATTCTTGATCTGGCCAACAAATTGGCAACAGGCATTCAGGTGCAGGGAATAGGATGTCTGAGAGTTTCAGCAGACTCATAGGTATTTGTGGCTACATTTTTTTTTTTTAAAGGAAGTGCCTGTGGAAGATGCTGTTGTAAAACTTTTTACCTGGTCTTGAGTGGCAAGCGCACACCAATTTTTCAGTATTCACAGGTTTGATTCTGGAATATTTGCCATCTCTGAGTTTTTCTGTTACCTAACTTGGAGCTTCTATTTCTTTATTCCTGAATGAGTCTCAAGCAAAAGTCTGAATATTCTGTAAACATTCTTTTTCAGTATGGCTTCTTTTTTTTTTTTTTTAAGAAAGAGAAAAGGAAAATGGTTTTCAGTGATCTTGGATGAGGGAAACTTTGTATCCTTAATTAAATGCCTGCGTTTGGTTTTGTGTTTGCTAGGAGCCTAGTGTAAAGCAAACTGATGTGGCCTTCTGTTCTCTTCCAGGCACCAAGTGCTTTCTGGGCTCAGTTCCCAATGAGTCTGTGTAATGCATTCCTTCTGTCCCATCCCATGTTGCAGATCTGTGGAGGCTGACATCATCATCTTGAATAATAAAGCTATTCCCAAATGTAACAAGTTCAAGTGCCTAAATGGAGGAATGGCGGTTAGGGAGATGTAGCGGGGCTTTCCAATGAGTTCATCATTGCAATGGTGGTTTGCCTGCTATTAAAAAAATCTTCTTCTAGATATGTCTCATTGTAATTAAGGGAGATTAAACATTTAAATTTATTTTATAGGGCTAATTTATTGCTCCACGCCATCTGCCCAGCAAGCAGATCTGTTCATCTGTTCTCTTGACAGGCAGTGAGATTCAAGTTTGCCTTCCCTCTCAGTGGGCCCCTTTCTAGACCTTGGAAGCTGATGGGAATCCTATGGACAAAGTTGGGGTGGGCTGCCAGGAAAAATTGTTGGATTCAGTGTTGTCTCTGGTTGAGAGCAGAATAATGGCCTTCATTCCACATCAGGGCTGGGATTCACAGAAACCTCACCCCATTCCACCTCTTCATTTGATGCTAAGTGCTACTCAACATTGTCCAGTTCTCAGCTTAAATGTTAATTGGTCCAGGAGCCTTGCCTGACCACCTAAGGCTTGGTTTAGTCCCCTTATTCTATTCTCCGTTAGTACCGTGTTCTTTCCTTCTCATCACATGTGGTTCTCTCACTGCACTGCAAGCTGTGTGAAGGCAGGAATGATGGCGTTTGTTTGGAGCTTGCTTTGTGCGGAGAATTGTTCTAAATGTTTTATGTGTGCTCCATGGAGAGAGGTATATGACAGAGGTTAAGGGTCCTGGTTTTGGAGCTTGACTACTCACGTAAGCTCTGTGGAGTAACCGAAGGTAGTACTTGGGCTCTGATGGGCTGGGAACAGATAGTGAAAGATAGGACACCAGACCCAAGAGCTTATACTTTGTTCTGTATGCAGTTCTTTGCAGTGGGAACAGTCTTAGCACAGTCTCTCACTAGCTGTGTAACTCAGGAAATTTCATCTCACTTGCCAGGCAGGTAACCACAGATTAATCAAGACACTAGTGGAAGCTTGATACATGTTAACTATCTTTCATCTGTTCAAAAATGTGCATTTTTTAAACCTTTTAACATTTCTGAAATTGGGAGGCATCTTATAGTTGCTTGCATAATATGATTTCATTGCCAGTGTATTTTTCCCCCTAAGGAAAATGTAAAATAATGATGTGTCGGGCTCATCAAGATTCATTGAAGTATGGTATCTCTTTCTCTTTCCTCCACTTTGGACAAAGACTATGGGGTCTAGAGGAAGAAGTAGATACCCTAATTCAGGAGTTCTAATGACCTATTCATAAATGCTTATGCAGTGTTTAGAATTGCCTGGGCTTCTTTTTTTTATTTTTGGAGTCTCACTCTTGTCACCCAGGCTGGAGTGCAATGGTCCAATCTCTGTGTACGGCAACCTCTGCCTGCCAGGCCCAAGTGATTCTCCTGCCTCAGGCTCCATAGTTGCTGGGATTACAGGTGCCTGCCACTACACCTGGCTAATTTTTGTATTTTTAGTAGAGATGAGGTTTCACCATGTTAGCCAGGTTGGTCTCAACTTCCTGACCTCAGGTAATCTACCTGCCTCAGCCTCCCAAAGTGTTGGGATTACAGGTGTGAGCCACTGAACCTGGCCTGGGCTTTTTGTTTTGAGATATATATATATATATATATATACACACACACACACACATACATACATACATACATAGACACACACACATATACATATATGTGTGTATATGTTTATACATGTATATCTATACATGCGCACACACACACATACACACATTTATATAGTTTTGGGCCTTATCCAAGTTCTACCGACTTGTTATTGGCCTGGGCATCTGCATTTTGTCAGTTTCCCTGGAGAGTTCCGTTGCAGCTCCCATGAAACAATTTGAAAACCAGTGCCCTCATTCGTCCGCTGTTGGCTTTACCTTCCAGTCACTACTTTGCTTTTTTTCTATTTAGTTTCTTCTTCTCTTCTTTATGTGTCGAAGCACCCAGCACAATGCCTGGCACATAGAATGTTCTCAAAAAAAAAAAAAAAAAAAAAAAAACTAATGTGTTTCCTCATCCTTTCACCTTAATGTTTCCAAAATTCTAGGGAGGCACAGTTGAAGGATGTGCTGAAGAGATAGTGGTGTTGTGAGATGAGAGCTACCAGCTGAACTTTCTGTGAGTTGTTAGCAGGTAATGAAGGTAGAGAAGGAGGCAGGAAGCCAGACATATCTGGTTGCATAGTTTTTGGTGTTCTTCCCTGGGGCCTTTATAATGTCTTTCAAGTACTTTAGTTTCGTTTGATTTTCAAGGAAAGTGACCTGGGCTGAAATACCTGGAGCAACTCTGTACCCTCTTCGGCTTTCAGTCCTTACAAATATAAACATCTTGTGCTTGGAAAACCCAGACTGTAAGAAGCCCTTCTGACTGGCTGGTTCCTGATCATAGGTAATTGTGACTCTTACCTCTGAAGCCCTAGAGACACCTCTCGTGTGCTCTCCCCACTTCCCAAGCTACTGCTTCCATTTGGCCCTATTACGCATCCTTCAGTCCTTCAGCACCTTTTTCTGAAGATTTTTGTGGAAGATTATTTCCCTTTACCAAGCCCTTGGAACCTTGTAGAGCTATTGTTTTGCACTTAAACGATTGCAATTTATTGTGAAAGTAAAATACAACTCATGTTTGTGCCACCACATGCCTAACGCATAAGTGATGATATTTAGTTGAATATATGACCAGGAAAAGGTACAAATGAGTATTGCCATTTGGAGGAGAGCTGATGGACTCACCTAGCCATGGAGAGTTTCAGTTTTTTGTGGGGGATGGGTAGGGTAGGTTGGGAACAGATACTGAAAGACAGGGCACCAGACCCAAGAACGTATACTTTGTTCTGTAGGCAGAGAGGGCCAAAAGATTTTTCTTATCAGGAGGATGGTGGGTTAAAAATGATAACTGGGTAAGATTCATTTAGCATCAGTGATTGGCATAGGGAAATGCTGGGGGTAAAGCAGTGAAAGATGAATGTAAAGACTGTTGTAGAAATGTATGCTTGCCTAAGATTTTAAATGCTGTCAGAAGGAATGGAGAGTGAGGAATGAATGCAGAAATATGTTCTGAAGGAAGACTATTGCTGTAGGACAGGGTGTCTAATCTTTTGGCTTCCCTGGGTCACATTGGAAGAAGAAGAGTTGTCTTGGGCCACACATACAATACGCTAATGTTAATGATAGCCGGGGGAAGAAAAAACAATCACAAAATCTCACAATGTTTTAAGAAAGTTTATGAATTTGTGTTGTGCCACATTCAAAGTTGTTCTTGACCACATATGGGCCACAGATTGGACAAGCTTGCTGCAGGATGTGGACTCAGGATTCCTAAGGTTTCACTGTATACTGAAGTAGGGAAAGAGAAGCTGGCTTTAAAAGATGTGTTTTTGTTTGATCACATTAGGCTTTGAAATGAAGGTAGCTCTTCTACAGGGAAATACTAGGCAACAATTAGAGACTCAGAATGAGTGACCAGTAGATGGATCAGTTATTGAGATAAGAGATTTGGAAGTTGTACACAAAGAGGTTTAATTGGCATCTTGAGTGTGGGAAGTGAGTTTAGGACTGAGAGGCGGGAGGGGCAAGTCAGCAAGTCCGCAGGACCCTGGGCATGGAACAGACCTTTCAAGGGTCCATTTCCTCCAATCCTCTTAGAATTTTTCTTTGCATAGGGGACTAGGCCTTCAAAGATAACCACTTTTCCTTCATTCTTAGGCTGTTTAATTCTTCTTTTTTCTCTTTTTCCTTTTTTTAAATCCTCCCATCCTTTCTCCTTCCTTCTTTTCTTCCTTCCCTCTTTCCTTCATTTCTTCCATTCCCTCTTTGATGTCTTATGTTGGCTTCCTTTGTACTACTGTAGTGCAAAGATTCCTGGGTATTTAGCTTGGATAACCTTGAATATAAGATGATAGTGTAGGTAGAAAGGAAAATATAGACAACCTTGCAAAATCCGTGCCCTGTTTTTTATATTACATACACAAGACTATTTTGTCCCTCAAGGGCGAATCATTCCTCATAATAGAAATAAAATGCATTTAGTTAAATGGCACTTACAGGCAGTTTATCATTACCTGAATGTGTATATGTTTGGAAATTAACTTTCACTTGGATCTAGTTATATGTAATCTCATAAAAGTGATAGTCATAAAATTGCCTTTCCTTGTTCTTTAGTTTCTTAGTTCTGGGAGACTTAGAAAGCTTCTCACATTCCTATACAACAATGTTGAGAATTGAAATTGGAGTGCTCTCCCCCTCTCCAAATGCCCTTAGAACCACATTTCCTTAGAAACTGGACTTTAAAAGGGATATCTAAGATTATACTATTTTTAGTACAATAGTTTAAATAGTCACATTTGTTGCAAATATTGTGATCTTGTGGATATTTTAAATTATATATAAAACATTTAATCAAATTTATTTTATTTTCAAAACCAAATACTATTTGGAAAATTGTTGGAAATAGATGTATCTATTTTTTCCCTGAGAATAGGAGGATCTAATTATCTTCACAGATCTCAAAGAAAGAGTATCTTTTTGGTACTCTTATCTTGTTATTTGGTTTTCTTATCCTGCTACTGTCTGGAAGTCCCTGAAACTTACTTATTCTCTATGCAGCCAGGGTGGCCTATTTCTCACTGATGTAATAGTTTTTTCATCCTTGCATGGGGAAAAATGGACTGCTCTTTTCAAAGGACATATGCCTACCCTCTAGGATTGCTTGCTCATCTCACCCTTCTTTGGTTTATCCTCACTAAGATGTCTGGCACAGTCCTTTCCAAGAATCAAAATACTGCTGATCACCATAGCTTGCGCCTGTAATCCCAGCTACTCAGGTGACTATTTGGGAGAATCACTTAAGGCCTGAATTTCAAGACGAGCCTGGGTAACGTAGTGAGACTCCATATCAAAAAAAAAATTTAAAAATAAATAATCAAAATACTCAAAGTCAACATGAGTTAACACATTGCTTGCCTTGATCAATTTGTACATTTGTGCATTTCGTTCATCAGTTACAGAAATAAGTATGTATATGTACTTGATCATGGGTAAATTATAAAATATATGTTTTTTAACATTTGGAATTTGTCTATAAGGAATTTATAATCCAGTTACATGATGAGTAATAGCTTAAACAGCAAACTGTTAGTGAAAGGCCAAATTCTGCCTCTT